CCCCCCCACCCCGTTCTTGCCTGCTGGCCCCTTGAAATGCTAGGGCAAGAGCCCCTCTTGACTCATTTCATGGTGTCACTGTGGGGGCAGGGGACAGAGGGTGAAGGTCTGGAACCATGAGACCTCAGGCCTCTCCTCCCTGCCCTCTGCTTCTTTGGGTCAGAGAAGAAAATTTGGGAAGGGTGCTAAGAGGGACCTGGCTGGTCACTGAAGTAGCTCCCTGACCCTGGAACTCCCTGGAAGAGCCTGACTCACCTTCTTTTGCCACATTCCCTCATGGTCATTATCACTGTCATCACTAGTCGTTGGTCATCTAATGGGCTCTGTTGTTAATTCACAGGTGCCCTGGAGCGAGTCACTTCTCCCATCTGGGCCTCGGTTGCTATGCCTCTAGAGGGTTGAGGGTGAAGGGGGGTGACTGAGAAGATGAAACGCTGCGAGAGTTCCTTCCAGCTCCTCCTGGGCAGGAATAATCCCCAGTTATTTGCTCTGCTGTCTCTCTTAAACAGCATTGGCCCCACGAGGCAAGAACAATTGGATTCATGAGAAACGCAGCTCACAGGAAAGATATGCTATGTCCAAGGTCACACAGCTGGCAAAGTGGCCAAGCCGAAAGCAAACTCAGCTGCCTTAAGTCCCAGATCACCATACCCTCTGTGACAGTGATGTCCTGGGGAGGACCCAGAGGGGGAAAGGGCTGTCATTAGGCCCCTGGGAATGGGGCACACCTGCCTCCTCCCTCTGGTGGGTTGGAAGACAATGGATGCTGAGGCAGGATCAGGGGGACTGAGGGGAAACAGTAAAGCCCTGGACAAGATGCCGAGAGCTCAATTATCCAGGCTTAGGTCAAGCCACAGCTCTAGGGACAGACAGACCTAGGTTCAAATCCCAGATCCTCTCTTTACTAGCTGTGTGACTTCAGGCAAGAGACTCCACTGCTCTGAGCCTGCTCTATAAAGTGAGGATAAAAATGCCTACCCCAAAGGCTGGTTGGGAGGATTTGATAAGATCATGCTTGGTACATAGTAGGTGTTCCAAAGGTGGCGGGTTATTACTGGGGTCCCTCCTCAGCTGGACTGTGGAAATGCTCACTTGGTTCCTCCCTCAAGCAAGTGTCCTAAGACAACATCATCTGTGGCTGGGAAATCTTCCCACCAGTCCACTGTGCTTATCATTAACATGTTCCTTGTAGCTCGGGAAATGTCCAGAAAGCTCAGTCTGAAGTAAACAGAAGCTGGTCTCACGTCTTCCAAAGTCAGGGATTCTCTCGAAGGGCAGGAAAGGGAAATACACTGGCCCCTGGCCCCTGGCCCCTGGATGGAGCACAGGCAAGGTGTTGGGTATGGGAGACCCAGGCAGCTTGTGGGCAGAGAATGGAATCCCGAGGATGTGCACAAGGAGGGGCCAGGCGGCAGGGTCCTGGTGAGAGCCCAGACTGGTCTCTGCCCACCCTTCTCCACACAGTAGCCAGAGCTGTCCCTTTAAGGAGTATCACATGTGGCACCCCATCTCACTCTGAATAAAAGCTCCAGTCATGCTCTGGCCCTCTCCAAAACTCTGCCCCCACCCCCATTCACTCTGCAATAGCCCCACTGGCCCCTCATTCCATAACAGACCACCAGGCTTAGCACTCTCTGTTCCCTCTGCCTGTAATGCTCTTCCCCCCAGTGTTTGCATGGGTCCCCCCTCCAGAGCCTTGTCTGACCACCCTAGCTAAAATAAGAGCCCCATTACCCTCTATCTCCTCACCCTATTTTATTTTTCCTTACGATTTACTGCTATTCAACATTATATTTTATAACTACTTGGTTTATTATTGCTCTTCCCCAGGGGAATGCACAACCATGAAGGCAGGGGCTCTGCTCAGGTCACTGCTGGGTCTTCAGCCCTCGGAATAGCATCTGGCACAGAGTAAACATAACACATTTATTGGATGAATGAATGAGCAATTGATGGAATTCTGGGTCCACAGTTTTCTAACTTGAGTTGTTTTGTGCAGGTCACTTCACTGAAACTTCCAGTGCCCAACAGAGCACACGCCCATCTCCTAGGGCTATTGTTTAAAATGAATAGTGTGAGCAAAACTAACACATAATAGGTGCTTAATAAACCACCACAATGATTATCACCAAGGGTCTCAGGCTCAGTCACCTGCTCACTGAGGCCTTGGGCACTGCAATGATCTCTCTGAGCCAGTGTGTCCATCTGCCAGGCTTCGAAGTCAAGAGTCCCTGTGTCCCACACAGGGATGTTTGGTGGATGCCTGGGCCGTGCATGTAAAGCACCTAGCAGGGGGCTGACACACAGTAGGCACTGACCAAGTGGTAGCTACTAGAGTCCTGGGAAGTCTAGGACTTGGATACCAGCCCCATCACTTTCTTATTCTGTGACCTTGGAAAAGCATCTTAATATTTTTGAGCGTCAGTCCCATCTGCGAAATCCGGAGAATGACAGTACCTTCCTCACAGGTTGTCTGGAGATCACGCAAGATTGTGTACCTGAAGCCGTACAGAGATGTGATGTGATAGGCAGAAGAATGAGCCACCGACACGTGGCACAGGCCGGGGATGGAGAGAGAAACTCTCAATGCGGAGTTAGGACAGAGCCAACAGTTACGCTTGGCCTGCGATCCCAGGTGGGCTGCGGAGGAAACACAGCTCAGGAGCAGCCAAGCCCCCCACAGCCAGACACCCTCCACGGAGAAGGGACCTGCGCCCCTGCCCCTCCTCTCTCCGCAGGGCTTCACGGTGGACCTCTCCTGGCCAGCCCTGGCAAGGGGATTTTCAAAGGAGGCAGATGACAACAGCAGGACCTCAGAGGAGGCTCCTTCCCCCTCAGTCAGCCTCCTGCCCAGTCTGCTCAGCCGCCTCTCCCTAACACCCTGGCGCAGCCTGGGACAGACCTAGAAGAACAGGCTCTGGGAGCCAACGCGGTCAGACAGACTCCTTGTGCTCTGGCCTGTGAGGTCTGAGGAGGGAAACGCCAGGTCCCCACCTGACCTGGCCCTCTGATTCCTCCACCATCAGGTGGAGGAGCGTGGGGACCACCACGGCCTCGTTCAGCCAGAGTGGACGCCACAAATCACTGGCTGGGTAATCCTTAGACTGCAAGCTCCATGAGGCAGGAGTTTTTTGTCTGTTTGGTTCTTTGATGAATTCTCAGTACCTAAAAGAGTGCCTGGCACCTAGTGAGGGCTTAAGAGATATATTTGAATAAGTGAATCCATACATCAATGAATGAAGCACTGAAGCAATGAATTACTACGAGTGAAGTTCCCTGCGGCCTGCGATGTTTCTCTCTTGTGTTCTTTGGTACATCCCCAGTGCCTCGAGTAGAGCCTTGGCACATGAGCGATGCCGAGTAACTGTGTGTACGAGTACACGTATGTGACCGTACAACTGAACCAATCATCAAAGCAATGACTCATTAGAATGTAATCTCTCTGAAGCCAGGATCGCCAGCAGCTATGTTTAAGGCTGCATTCTCAGTGCCTGGAGCAGAGCAGGTATTCAGTGAATCAGTGGATGGATAGATGGATGGATGGATGGATGGATGGATGGATGGATGGATGGATGGATGGATGGATGGGCAAGGCCCCAGCGCTCAGTGCAACGACCACAGACCAAGAAGAATGAAACACAAAAGGGATGCCCCGCCCCCGGCCACCACTCAATGCCTCGTGGTTTTTTAAATAATTTGTTGATTGTTTTTAATGGTTGAGGCAGTAATACTTGGTTCATGAAACTGCAATATACAGAGAGGTGAAATAAATAGCTTATATATATATAATATATATAATATAGCTGGTTTTAAAATATTCCCTTATCATTGGTGTGCTAGGTCACGTGAGTCACGGAAGGTCGATAGCAGCATCCTGCAGGCTGCGAGCGAGGCAGGGTCGCCGTGATCGGGCGAGGCCGTCTGTCGTCGGAGGTCGAGGCGCCGAGAATTCCGAGGGGCACGCCTTCCCTGCGCGGTGTCTCGGGACAGCTTGCAGCGGACAATAAATAAATGACTGCAAACCAGAGAGCGATTTTTGTTGGAGTTTGGGGCAGGGGCAGGAGATAGGGAAAGAGGGGGAGTTCCTGGGGGGG